CAAGTACCATATACCTGGATGGGAGGAACTACAAAAGGGACATCCACATCAAAGGTGCAAATATACACAGTGAGTACAATAACTGGCTTTTGCAATGAGGCTACTGAACTGAGGGCAGCAGCATGAGAAAAGGTTGCACAACCCATCCAGGATACGTTCCAAGGTGATACCCAGACCTTACTTGACTAAGGCCTTTCTAGAGGGCAATGCAAATTTCACCTTGTTAAGAGCTGGTACAAAGCATTCAGGAGCTCATGAGTTTAATCTGGACCCCCTTCCCTACATGATCTGATTTGAGAGGCGAATGAAAAAGCACCACTTAGCATGCACCAAGTACTCTGACCCACTGCTTGTTTTTTCACCAGTCCTTTTTGTCCTCGTACACTCTTGCTCTCCAAATTCCAGAGCTGATCTGGACACTTGAAAGCCTGCAGTCAAGGGTTTCTCTGATTATGCCAACACTCAGCAATCCCACTCGCAGAAATACTTACAGGTCCTTGGTGATTTTTTTGCCATTAGGGAACAAGTATATTCTTGCAGTTTAATCACTGGCGAGTTATGTGGGAGATTTGGATTAAACACTAGCTTCAACAAAACCTTCTTGCAGAAACATCCATAATGCTGAATCTCTCTTGTGCTTCCTTTCTCATATTGCATACACTGCAGTCCTGAGATCACTAGGAAATTCTGTGCACGATTTTGGGACAGATTATAATAATAACATACCTCTCGTCATACCCATAAGACTAAGAAGCTATGGGGACCTAAGTAATCTTACAATGTGAGTGGGAAGGGAGATAGGACCCATCTTATACAATATTTCATTTTGCTGAGGTTTTTTTTCCTAGCATTTTTCTCTGTTTCTCAGTTTTCTATTGCCCCGTGCTGTGAAATTGAGGACTGCCAGGGGCTGACACTGAGATGTTTTCCTAGGTGCTAATGTATAGCTTTAAATAAAAAGGAAAGTGAAGCCAACTTATAAGACTATGACTGGCCGGTGCTGCTCCAGCAGGGATCAGCGGGAATGTGAAGGTGCTGCTTACCACATGCTGGCCCTGAGCACTGGGGAGCCAAGCAAATAGCTGCCATCACTGAGTGACATGACTGCACCCTACAGACATGAAACACCCTGTCTAGCAAGGTGGGTAATGAGTCCTCTGAGGGGAGAGTGAAACTGAGCTGAAAATATGCAATCAAGCCAGAGACAGCTGCAAAATTCCTGCTGTCCTTCCTTCTGCCTGTTTTCTGGGGTCACGTCCTGAGGCCATGCCCAAGGAGGATGGGAGGACCCATTTAAGAATCAGTATGGGTGCAGCTGCCTATACGTTATGTTAACCAAGAGCCCCAGGTGTAGTGGACAAGGCTTTATAAATGTAAATACAGTAAAACAGTTGCCTGTTGAGCACTGAGGTAAGTGCATGCCTGGCAAAACAGAGTTATCATGGCTGCACTACTTTCACTGGTGCCTTCTCCAACCAAAACTTTCCTTACAGCATGGGCCAAAGTCTTTTGCCTTTGTAGGGCTTTCCAGACAATGTTATTATGGCGTTAAAAAGACAGTATCACATTTAAATGCTGAAATTAGGTCTTGCTAGCTTCCAAGCTTGGTCAGAGAGACACCACACCATTACTCTAATACAACAAAATGTTTCAAACAGAACTTTAAAACCTTTTCTGAATTCTCTGTTTGAAGAAGTACCGCATCATGACTTCCTATGCCTGCAAAACATGCAACTGTTTCCTTTTAAAGAAGTCTAGGAGTGAAGCACTTCCCAAGCAGACTCACTGCTCAGTGTCTAGTGGTCTGCTCTTGGCCATGCCAGGCTGTGGATTGAAGATCATGAATGACCTGTGAGGCCAGGAGACATGATCTCAGCTGCAGCCACATCAGGGTGCTTACCAAGAGCAGCTCTTTAAAGTGGCACATGTGGTAACCCCAGTGCAGGGAGCTGGCTTCTCCCTGGCTATGGTGACCTGATGAGACAGCACATGGCAGTGGACCACTTGCTATGGTCTGTTTGGCATGGTGAGCAGTGCACCACTGGTCTGCGGTGTTATGGTCACAAACCAGGATGCGTTCCCCGTTCTTCTTGCTGCATGTATGCAGGAACTGTTCAGGAAGCGCAGTTTTAGGGTCAAAGCAGGAAACTAGAAATCAGGGGAATTGATTCACTCTAGAGATCAGCCATAAAATCCCTGTGTGACAGGCAAACCAGACATATCCCTGCTTCACAGTCACACAGAAGGGAAACATTCCCCTAGCATAGACCAGGGCTGTAGGAAGTACCTGAGCAAAACCAGATCCTTCACAGATATCCTGCTGTTCTCACTGCTGTGCTGCCTCTCTCTGCCCTCCAGAAGAGATGTATATAGTATATATTATAGTATAAAAACATGTCTGGCATTTAATCCAGCTGCACACACAGAAGCAGCAAGAAAGCTTGTGGCTCCCACTGTTCTCCATACCCCAGCATTTCCACTTCTAAAGGTATCCAGATTTTGTGTTTATCTTTTTCAGAGCCTCTCAGTGCATGCTGAGATTTTAGTGCCTGGAAGATATTTTGAGGAATGAGTCTCTCAAATACAACTGCATTCCCTCAGGTATCTCCTGGGTCTGCTTGGGATCAGGCTCTTTCCTGCTTTTGCCACTGGCATAAGGCTGTGCCAGTGGGATGACTGATGCAAGGATTAAACAAGGGCCAGAATTTGCTCAAGATTTTGACTGCTGAGGCCAGGCACCAAGAAAAGTGGCATAAATCTAGAAAGGAGGCTGTGCCCAAGCAGCAGAGTGGGTATCCTGAGCTGAGTGAGGGCTTGGAGGCATGCTGCACACCACCACCCAGCACCACACTGAGCAGCACATAGGCACCCAAAGCTGGAGCTGCAGGAGAACTGTGTGATCCCTGCTCTTCCCATGATCTACCTCTGCAAAACAAACCCACAGATTTCACTTTTTACTCCTTTTAGGAGGTTTGGAAGAAAGAGCGGAGAAGCAATGTTAGCACAACCCAGAGCCTCAGGCTGGTTTTGTCAAATCCCAGAGGAGAGGAGCCAGGAAAGGGAAAAAGGCAAGTGGGAGGAGAACCAGGGAGGTGTTCCTGGAATTGTTAGCTGCACATACGGGAAAAATAAAGTTTCCCTCCCTTTCTCAGTAGCAGAACAACCAGCAATGGAGACGCTTTGCTGTAAACACTGAAAACGTGTATGTCTTCAGTCATATGCCTACCAATGTCCATTCTTGCAACAGTAGCCAAGGAAAGGCTGAATTCTCTTAATTCTGAATTATTTACCAAACTGTATATTAGACAGAGAGAGAACTGTTAATAACCACTTCCCTCCCCTATCCTCTCCTCTGCACTCAAATGTTAACTGTTGTGGAGCCTCATGGTCTCAGCAGTTTTCAGGCAGTTCCACTGCCTCTATGTCTCGTGCTGAGCCTGGGACTCCCAGGGCACTACACAGTGAACAGCCCATGAACAGCACCTACACCACCAACTGCTCATTGCAGGGGGGGTTTGCACTAGATGACCTTTCCAAACCAAACTATCCTATGATTCTGTACTGCTGCCTGCTTCCCAACGCTGGGGATGTTTAGTAGTAAGAGGAGTGACTCTGCATGGTTTACTAATGAGCAGAGGTATGATAGGAATGATGCCTACCTTTTACTGAAAATAATTTCCAGGTAAGAAATTAAGGACAGGAAGGTTCTTTCTTCCCAAATCATATTTTTCAGGGCAGAAAATGCAAATAAGCAAAACAACTGATTATTAACTTGTCGTGGTTTAAACCCTAGCCAGACATCTTGTTCACTCACTCCCAGTGAGTAGTGCCTGGCTGAGAGCAAACGAGCCCCCCCCCCCCCCCCCCCCCCGGGCTCTCCCCTTTCCTGCTCCCAGAGGAATGGGGAGGAGGATCGAAAGAGTGCAACTCCCACGGGTTGAGAGAAGAACAGTCCAGCAACCAATGTACAACACAAATCACCACCGCTACCACCAATGACAACAATGATAAGAGAAGATAACAAGGGAAGAGAATACAATACCACCGGCCAAGAAACAAGTCCAACCCAGAAGCCTCTGTCCTTCTGGGTAACTCCCAGTTACCCCCCACCCCGGGCATGACGTGCTGTGGTATGGAATACCTCCTTGGCTAGCCTGGGTCAGGCGCCCCGTCTCTGCTTCCTCATGGCTTCCCCTCCTCCCTGGCAGAGCATGAGCCTCACAAAGTCCTTGGTCAGGGTAAACATCACTTAGCAGCAACCGAAAACATCGGTATCACCAGCACTGTTCCCAGGCTGGAAGTCAAAACATAGCGCTGCACCAGCTAACACGAAGGAGAAACATGACTGCTACTGCTGAACCCAGGACACAACTGATTTTAAAGTTTCTCATTCCTGATTTGTTTGCAGTCTCTCTTTCTGTGCAAATCATAATGTTCCTGCACTATAAGGTTCAATTTTGCTCAGCTTCAAAGAGGAAATTAGTTTCTATCTTGCAACACTTTATGAGAATGCCAAAGACAATACTTGTGTGTATTTCATCAGTCTTAATGTTATCTTCTCCAGAATTTCCAGTAATGTCTGTGAAAACTTTGCAGAATTGCCCCCTTTTATCTGCTGAAGAACTGCAAGGCCAAGAGCAGCAGCAATTATTTCAGATCTCTCAAAGACATCCTGATTATCAAACATCCTGTTAGATAGGCTGGGTCAAATTTAGTCCTGCTATAAAGTAATGCAACAGAGTTTAGAGTAGTCTGGCTTGCATCCATTGAGTATCTGTTTGGCTTTGTTTGCTTAGGTAAATGATCTCAGGCAAAATAATATTAATTTGGGGGACTTTCTTTATAGCATCAGCCAGTTATATTTCATATGGGGTTCACTGGTTTAACTCCAGATCTATTGAACTTAACATAGGTTCTTTTGTTTCTGTGGGCTATACAAGAGGGCACTTATGGGCACTGTGACTGTCATTTGTTAGTTTTCATCTGCTTCTTTCCTGCAGATTTTTAATTTGGTCAAACCTAAATTTCCAAGATGAACTCATCTATTGCAACTATCCACTTGCTGAGGTAAGAGCCAAAACAATCAAACAATTTGATTGTATGCAATGGTTTATGACCCAGTGAAATATGGGTTTAAATTTTGATCTGCCCCAGGCTCCCGGTGTAACGCTGGTCAAGTCACTCAAGACTTGCACCTAATTCTTGTTATATCACTGGAAGCTCCTGTGATAAGACCACAGTCTAAATTACAAAGCTGTGTTGCCTCGAAGGCTAGTGAAGGGAGCTGGGAGTTTCAATAAATTACCCTCCTCTATTGCCCATGTTTCTCCATGGACTATGGAGAAACCTTAGACCTTCTGCCAGGTGACTAAAAGGACTTATGAAAAGTCCTGTCTTTGATTATTACATGGGGTTGTTTCAAATGTGTAAAGAGATACTTAATGTTTAGTTCACACAGTAGCATTGTGAAGATAAATATTAAATACAGTGAATTCATGAGATCACTCCTTCTATTCCAGATAAAGAGGTGGATGGGTGCCTATGTAGACTTTAGAAGAAAATCTGAAGTTTGGCTTGAATGTTGGCCCAGAAGTTAGACTGGTCCTTTAAACCTGTGCAGAATCTCTTTGTTTCAAAACATAAATGAGCCTCTGGAATTATGGCATAACAGTGTTTTGTAGCGAAGATGATTGAAGGTCAGAAGAGAGAATATTACCTCTTCCTACAAGCCTTGCCTTGCTTTGGAAAAACTCACCTTGAGATTGAAGCCTGAGGTTAAATCCAAGAGTCCGTGGGATGATTTGTGGAATTCAGTGTAAACATTTGCAAAATGCTCATGTTTACCTTTCGCCTTGCCTCGTTATCTTCCATCATGAAACGCAGGTGTTAGAGCACAACTACAGCCTTGCCACACACTTCGTGCTGTTATGAGCTTTTGATCACTTTAATCACTGTATTTATGAGTAGCTTGATCTATTTTTTTCAACTAATTTGACATTCTACAAGGTAAGAAGGTAATTAGTGATGTCTACTCTAGTGAAATAATGTTGTTTCACTTGTTCCCCTGTGAGCTTTGCAGTTTGGCTATAGCCATTCTTAGATAGAAAACAATGCCTCCTTCCTAACGAATGAGAAGTAAAAGACAATTTTAGGTAACCTGATTACACAGCTTACTCACATTTTGAATTAGCTCTGTCATTGATGCAGTGCAAACAATGAATTTTAGCTTTTCATTTGGTCTGGTAGGTCCACCTGCTAGAGTAGCCAGTGCTAGTTACCTACCTGGCCCTCTCTTGTGTAGTTTGCTGACCCTGTATTTGGCAACATGCTCAGGTACATGGCTAAAACCTAGGTTTTTCTTGTTTGGGGCATGGTTTTGCCCCCATAAGATGTTTTGAACAGGAGTTTCTGCTGTATTTGCTGCCCGATTTTACCTGAGTAACTCAGAAGGTACTAGCTATCTGAGAACTATCTAATTGTCCAATTTGTGTGAGTTTGTGCATGCCTTCATAAACAATAGGAATTGCATTGGAGGGGTAGTGCTTTCACCTTCCCAAAGGGACTCTCTACCTGTGTGACCTGACGGTGTTATGCTGCTCATTGCAGAACAGCCCTGGTTCATTGCCCCTTGAGCAGCGAGTCTGACCTTTGTTTAGACAAACTATCTGTTTTCTCTGCTCTCTCTCTGTCTCTGATCTATAGCCACAAAGGAAAAGGAGGGGCCAGCAAAACTTCAAAACTTAGAAACACATAAGCCTGGATTTGCTGAAGTGCCTGGGGTCCCTGCTTCCCCTGGGGGGTGGTGACTAAATCAGAGCTGTCCAGGGCTTTGCCCAGGAGCAGATGCTTTTGCAAACCAGGCACAATGCAGTGCTAGGGGAGGTCTGGATGGCCTGTCCTGCACAGTGATGGAGGGTGCTTCAAAACCTCCTTTCCAGGTTTTGATGATATGGTGCTGGCAGCACTCTGAAGTCTGGTGCAGGAGTGCAGCTGGTAAAGCATTTGCAATCCCTCCCGTCTGCAAAGATCCGTGCAGGCCTTCAGCTGCACTGCTGTGAATGAGATGCTATTAGGTTAGTGCTATACTACAGAGCAGTCCCCTGTGTTGCTTCATGCTTCTAAGTATAATGGTGGGAAGGATTTCTGTGTGTTGGGATTTCCCTTTCCCGAGGTTGCTCTGCAGGGCATAAGCTGCTGTGTGTGGCACTGCCCATTATAAACTGGCAGCAGCCAGATTTCACCTGGTAGATTTGGCTGGGCTCAGAGCAGCAGAGTGGGAGGAGGGCATCCTTAGTTCATTAGGATAACCAGGCCACTGCTCTTCTGCTCTCCACACTTTCCCTCTCTCCAAGGAGGGCTGATACAGCTGAGAAAGCAAAGAGGCAAGAGGGATTCCAGTCCATCTTAAGACACTTCTGTCTGAAGAGAGAGCACATGTATGCCACTTCCCTAAACTTCCAAATTTTAGATTCTTTTTAGAAGTGAAAGGCTGCTTCTGCTTGTTTAAATCCAGCGCCTTCCTTAGCAAGTGCAAAGAGCCTTGTATGTAGCACACAGAGGTCTTTGGAGCATCGCAGGCCTTTATTAATTCATTGCATCTCTATTACAATTGTGTGCAGAGCTCCCAGACAGTTTCCCAGGCCTTGCTGTGCAGATGCCAGATTGTTGCCCAATCCAGCCCCATAGGGGTCAGTGAAGGCACCAAGGCTTCCAGGTTCTCTCCTAGGGAGTGATGCTTCCGATGCTCCTGCAATCAGCTGATGCCAGTAGAGATTGAGCACATTGCCAGAGCTGCTCATACCACTATGACCTGCAGTGCCTGACTACTTGGCTTGTATATTGAGGAGCAGAACTAGGGTTACCTGTTACCCTGTTGTTACTGTACAGGGTCTAAGTCCTGGCCTCTAGCAGTCATGCAGTGAACTGCTGACTATACCACAAATTTTGTGGTAAATGAATGGCCAAAACCTGTCTGCTCCCCGAGTAATAGTATTTCTTCCAACAGCATATCTTGAGCAAAACTCTTAGCCTGTCCATTAGAATGTATCTGAGGGTGGATGAACAATTGCAAGAAGAGGAGACTAGGATTCTTGTAATTCAAGAGCTCCTAAGATGTTTGGTCCTGTACTACAGAAACCACATGTTTCAAAGGCAGCTGGATCTAGGCCACAAATAAGTGAAGATGGGAAAAAACATATCCACCTTGTCTAATAAATGTGTGGCTGGAAGCATGTGTGTAAGACAGTGACGTATATCTTTGTATGAAGAAAAATTAACAGTCTGGTAAGAATCTGCAGGTTTTCATTATAATGGAATCCTGTGTGTGCTTTACATTACCAGACAGTCCAGGCCATGAGCTGGTGCCTGTTGTGCCCTCACTGCCTTCATTGCAGCCATGTGCTGGGGTCTTTGCTGTGTCCACCTCACTGCCATCTCCTCTGTCTGCTTTTGCTCTTAGAAATAGAGAGCCAGGCTTCAGCAAGGACTACAGCCACAACAACCTGTGCCCAGCCCTGGAATATCTTAAATGTCACATAAAAAGCACCCTGGGTTTTTTACAGAGAGAAGGCTTTGCATTTGCTGGCTTCTTGCTGCAATAAATTGGCAGATGATGCTCTAATGAGAACAATAATGCACCCACCCTACTGCCTTTGATCATTTATGTGCTCTTTTGCAGCTTGTGAAAGGCTCTAAAAGCTTTCACCAGACAGGGAGTGTCACTAGCATTCTTTACCACTTTACTAGCTCTAAACTTTACCACTCTAAACCAGCTGAAGCTCGTTTTTACAGTGTTTGGTTGCTGGGACAATTAATGTCATGCTAAGTGACCACTATCCAGTTTGACCCAAGGAGCACCTGATTCCAGCCATTTAGCAGCAATTTCAGCAGTGGAGGCTACCCCAAAGCAGTGCATACAAACTGAGTGCTTCAACAAATTGCTTAATGGGTGGCATGCTGGGGTGCAATCAATTGGCATTAAATGTGCTGTGCCATTTTGCACCAGCTGATAGTTAGCAAAAGTGATTGTGTGTATACTGGTACTAGCTGTATTCTCATGACAAAGTGGTCTGTGTTCTCCAGCTTTTTCCTCTACTCAGAGATACGCACGCAAGGGACGAAGTTATGTTTCAGTTTGCACAATTGTTTCCACTTGTTAGTTCTCTATCTACGGTCTCATGACTGTCTTTACTGTTTGTTAAGAAAGTTACTTGGCAGCTCAGATGAACTCCCATGGGAGGTTATCACCAGGTTGTAATTAAAATTACCCACCAAACAGCTGTTTTCTTTTGGAGAAATGTATTGTTTCATTAATCTGTAAACCCACAGCAATTAAAATCGGGTTTTGAAACAACAACAAAAAAGCTGTATGCATCCTATCTCACCATTTTGCTTGCCATTTCCCATGTGTTCCGCTTGTCTCAGTCACCTTTTCCTGCAGCATTTCAGTCTGAGTGACTGAATTGACAAGTGATCTTTTACGACTTTCAGGATACCTTTGTCTACTTTAGGACCCAAATCTGGTCTCTACTTATTTATGCATCTTTATCTGAAGGGGAATCGACCCTATTTTAATTGCATATGAACGGGATGATAACAAAATGTTAATTGCTTTTTCAGCCTGATCTATATCTAGCTGAATTTGCCCTTGATGGCTCTGTAACATTGGCACAATTGCAAACAAATAAACACAGACATGCCTCTCACATTAGAAGAATCCAAGCATCTCTCCCATTGTTCCCAGGCTGCTCAATGCTTTTTCATTTCAGCAGCTGCATGCAGCATCACTGATGTGGAACTGCTCAGCACATATGCTAATATCACATATCGGCTATTCTGGCCATCCTTACATGGGAGGTAATGTGGGAATTCTTTTGGAAGAAGGTGGTGGCTTGTTTTGCAGGACTGAAACCTTCATTCTCCATTGATTAAACCACCTGGAAATGGCTCACTCATCTACCTCAGAGGAATCCTAGGTTCACAATACCCCGTTAAAACGTAGAGGTGCTCAAACATGTATCCGTCATCCATAGCTTTCTGTGTCCTGTAACATACCTACTGCTGTGATAACTGAGCACCTGTCAAGATACTATATTGCTAGCCATGGAAATGGAAGTCCTCTTGAATTTATCAACAGAGGAACTTACATTGCTGCCTGGCAAGCTTCTCAGCTTTTGTGACTCAACCTTGACCTCGAAGGATCTACTTCTCAGGCTGAGAAAGCAGCAAATTCTCTTTGCAGATTTAATCACCGTTTCCTCTGCTGCGGGCTCTGACTGACAAGATGGTGGAGATATCTTTAGCTCAGACAAAATCATCTAAAAGCAATTGCTGCTACAAGACACAGAACATACACTTGTTCCGTAAGTTGGCTTTGGCATACCTGGTTCCCACACAACACCCACAGTGAAGTGGAAAGCTGCCCACCACCTGAGGCCACCGGCTGATGGCAATGTCAGACACTGAGACTGAGCCATATTTGAACTGCTGGCCCAAGTGTAAGGCACTATATTCTCACTGCCCATTGAGCTTCAGAAGGATGCTTATAGCCTTGAAAAAAAAGCCACGTTACAGACATGTCAAATTAGACTGCAAGCAGAAACCACCAGAGGTGAATGCTGAAAGATTCCCATCTCTTAACATTACGTTGTCCCATTATAACTTCCAGTAAATGTGATTTGTCCTGTGCATTGATGTCTTCCTCAAGTAGTGCTTTTCACGGAAGTTCAGGTTTAAGGTATCCCCTTTCTTTTTCCAGGCACTCTCCATTTCCCAGAATGTGTCCCAGACCTGGAACCAGTTCCATTGCTGAGGCACCACATTTCTCACCTGCTGATTGCAATTAGCCACTGCCAGCTGGGGCCTGGTGAGCTGCTGAAGAGCTAACAAGAAACAGCATGAGGCCTCGGCAGTGTGTATGCTCTGAATGAACAAGGTGCTGAGTTCCTGATGTGGCTCCACCACAAAACAAGGTGCCCACATCCTCATCTATGTGTCAAAATCTGCTTTTGGAGGCTCAGCTTGCTCCTCAAGCTCTTACACATTACCATCACATGTTTGCCAGAGAGGAAATGTGGGGAAATAAAGGTTATTACAGGTAAAAACAACCCCCAAAGAGGTCTTGTTAATAGATTGTTCCTCTCACCCTTATCCTCAGGCAGCACCAATCATCACAATGGAGCAGTTACCTCTGATTATGGTTGTTGCCATACCAGGGTCACACCAGGTGAGCTCTGGAGGTGAGTAAAGCCACGTCCATCCCCTGCTGGATGCTGGGATCCTGCCAAGCCTGCTGTGTGCTCGGGAGCATCCACATGGGCTCTGAAGCATGGTTCCCAGTAGTCTTTGCCTTGTTCTTTACCTATTTGTAGAGCAGCCGGTAGTGATGCTCACTAGTTTGCTGAAGCCTGGTAGACTTCATCTCAGAGCTCCAGGAGAAATTCCCCAGAAGTCTGTAAAGATAAGTCAGCCTCCCTCCACATGCCCCAGGAAACCATCCTAGCATTCTCTCACATATTCAGTAGCTGCCCAGTGCAGAGGACGATGCAAGGCAGGCATGCACCGTGTCATTCCTGAAAACACCAGTGCATGCCTATTTCAGAGGAAATTTTGTTAACAGGAATTATGACCCATAGTCTGTACTCTTATAGCAATGGGAGGTAGTAGATGGATCTACTTGGGAATTCATAACAACTCCCAAGCCAAGGCATTAAGAATGTGTGCACTATTAAGATCTTTCCCAGGACATGTCTCCCTCTTTCCATTTAAAAAAAAAAAAAAAAAACAAAGCTTAACAATTTTTTTTTTTTTTAAAGGCAGTCAGAAGGTTTGTCTTTAAAACTAGAGAACAGAGCAAGGGTTAAACTCAGACCAAAAGAAACCTTGGGCCCTGCAGATACTTAACTGAACTTCGGATACATCAGGTATCTCAGGACTGGTGCTGAATTGCCCTGCTTTGGGCTGAGAATGGACATGCCAGGCTTTTCCACTAGGGAGTCTCTGCAGGCTGTCTTTCAGGGCCTCCTTCTCCGCTGTAACTGGACACATGTGTGCAGAAATAGAATGCCATCCCTGTGAATCCTTGCAGTGACCTACCAACACCACCTCGGCCTCACCAGGCTCCCTGCTCATAATCCCGGGCAATAAAAACAGCCCTGGGAGAAAGATTTTGTTCTCATCTATTGTCTTGTGAGGCCCAGCAATGACTTAAGATATACTCCAACTTGGTGCCATGCTCAGTTATGAGCATGTTATGTTATTAGCACATAGGCCATATATGCTCATTGGCCGGAGCTGCTAAACTGAAAGTCCTCCCTTAACCAGCATTATGTTCATCATTATTTTAGTAATCAGATACTGTTATCACAGAAAGCACACAGACAGAACCACAGACTTACTTTGCATCGAAGGGAGATCCTTGTTGGTACTTCTTATTTGGTTGTTTTTATACTGAGGGGTGTAAGAAGAAGGATAATTCCACTTTCTGACACTGAATGCAGAGGATTCAGAATGGTTTTAACTTCTTTGAGATCATGTGCTCCACTTAAGAACATTCCCTGTTGGCATCCACGTCTCCATCCACAGAGAGTTGTCATCCAGTCTTCAGAATGACACAAGGGCAACCCAAAATTATTTCCTGGAAATGAAATTTTCATGGTTACAAGTTAGACAGTTTACAACCTCTGTTATGATCTAAAGGACGTAGGTGTGGAAAGAAATGATCACAAAAACTTGACGACCAAGCACATGCTATGTATGGAAAAAGTCAGACTATAACTTCCTGTAGATCTGCAGAAGACTGTTAAAGCTTGCTAGCCTAAAGGAATTCCTTGAAGGATTAAGCTATGCTACTACCATTAGGTTTATAGTTGGAGTCTACAGGTTTTCACAATATAGCCTGTGCCTGTTGGTGAAAGCATGATGAACTTGCACATTTTCAGTTCTGTGGCACAGCTCTTTTAGCCACATGCCTTAATCTGGGAAGTTGCTGTAGCACCCTCATTTTGGTGGATATAGAGGATCCAACTGAGAAAAACATAACAATTTATTCAGCAAGTCAATTTTTTTTACTGGTGGATTCCACACTTTTCTGGATCTGTTCCCAGGGGAATCACAAAGGGGTTTGACCTCTCTCCAGGCCATTCAGCACTTTGGAATGTGCTGTAAAATTACTTGCCCTGAGCAGCATTACAGGAGAAGCATTCATCAGTTCAGTTCTTTGTCAGCCTTTTCTTTTGAGGGATGCATTGCTGATGATGAGTCATAAAGACATTGATTTTAAAATTTGCTTTAAATTATAATTGCATTCATATGATTACATCGTGGCTCCCAGGAATCTAGTGAGTTCTTAAATATATAGTTGATGCCTATTCTTCCCAGGTAAGTACTATATAATGTATAAGATGACCTGGCAATTTTTTGGTTTTATACTCATTATTTTTTGAGAATTATGTCTTACATCTGGAAGATAGAGGGGTTTTAATGGTAGTCTCTGTTTTAAAAAATGCAGTGTAATGGTTCAGTTGGGTGAAACAGTATATTTAACTGAAGGTTAATATCCATATTGAGTTAATATCGGAGGGGTTCCCATCCTGATTTGAGATCCCAGTGTCCTAAGTTGCTATAAATCATAGAATCATAGAATAGTTAGGGTTGGAAAAGACCTTACGATCATCAAGTTCCAATCCCCCTGCCATCTAGAACAGTGGCTAAAAGGATATAAACAAAAATGCATACTTAGGAGTGAAAATGAGGTGCAAAGCCTGGTCACCAGGACTGTGCAATGTTAAGCGTATCTTACAGTCCATATTGCTGTGGACTCATTTATTTACATAAATGCTTCCTGTCTATGCTAGAAGGCTGCTACTATTATTACTACTATTGTTACTATTATTACTAGTACTATGATTATTACTATTATTGTTATTGTTATTTTCATCTCACACTTCATCTTCCCAGAGTGAACGCTCCTTTAAATACAGTTCTCTTTCTTTGACTTCATTCCTCATTGCTGGTCTTTGCCTACAGAGTTCTTGGCTAGCAGGCAACACCCCATGAAGCTTCCTGAAGTCCTCTTAATCAATGTAGGGGTCTTGCAGTTTGGAGGCAGTGTTTTTGTCATGCACCAAGCATTGTACCACCATCATGATCTGTCATCCAGAGAGAGAAGGTGAGCTGTTCCTCTAATATAGGTCTGACGGAGAAGGAGACAAAAGCTTCAGGAACATGTCATTGTCCATATTTTCTGCTATTCGATGAGAATTTTTTGTTCTGGGTGGACTTTGACTGACCCTCTGGTAAACAGAATGCAGTCTTCACTTGTACAGTTTGTCTTTAGTGATCATGCAGCCAATCAGAAGCTTTCTGCTGTGGTGTTGTGGTCAAGGAAATAAAGCACTCACTTTACAGAACCGGCACTAAGAAATCTCCCTTGCTACCCTTACATTTATCCATTTTCCCATTAATTTGCTAAGTTGAAATGCTAAAATTAAAATCCCAAGGCATTAGTGAGGACAGCAAGAGACAGGGGAGAAGGTGACCCATGTCAGAACCTGATGGGGTCTGGTCTCTCCAGCTTGTTCACTTTCTGGTCCCTCCCTCTCCTTTCCATGTTTTTTTCTCAAGTACTTTGTGTAATAAGCTGGTGAGAGGTGGGAACCAAGATCTTCCTAAGGTTTAAAAGCAGACAACAGGGTTAGAAAATGTGATTGTCACATCCAAAAAATCCCAAACAAATGAAAATCCCATCTCTTCGCTCAGCAGCCTTTAGAAGTACTTTGAATATGATCAAAATTGAGGCTGTTCATTGCAACCTATATGAAACAGGCTAGGTTTTGTTCAGCTGGCCTGTGCTTCTCAGTAGCCTGCTGGCCTCTTGCTGACAATTTCTGACCCTGGCAGGCAAAAGCCCCATAGGGCTGCTCTCTGCTCAGGCAGACAAGGAAAGGGACATAATACAGGAGACAGTAAAGGTGCCTGAACTCCCCGCTCTGTTTGGGCCGTGAGGATTCTTGGTTTGTGGTTCTAGAGCTATTAAGTTTTCAAGTGCTATATAAATGCCAAGTATTGTATTCCTGGGGCTAAAAAGAAGGCAATCTTTCCTTCTACTACAACTGTAAGGTCAAGGTAAATGTGACTGTTTAGAAACACTGCAGTCTTGAAGCCCCTGGGGGATTTTAATGTGTTTTATAAACTTGTTTCCAAACCAAGCCATTAGGAAAACAAGATATTTCTCCATAAAAGCCTTTCTTTTTCTCTCTTTAGGGACAGTACTGACTGCCTTACTGCCTTTAACTCGATAAGAATCATCATTTTTATAAACAGACCCTTTTTCATGACTTGCTTGATCAACTTGGGAAGGCAGCTTTTAAGAAGTTATAGTCATACGCAGGAATAAAAAACCCACATCTTACCCCATCTGTTGCAGCCAGAGATGTAATAGAAACCATGTCCTTTCTCTGAAGGTAATGCGTAAGAAAAAATAGAGACGTATGCACTTGCTTTCCGTTCACGCTCAGCTGCAGTTATGCAATATTACAGAGGTAAAGGAACAAGCTCTTTCACAATTTGATTGCAGAGCTAAAGCTTTTTGTTTCCTTACAGCAGTTTATGGTGGGAGATGCCAATATTTATCCAAGGCTTCACCTGTATCAGGAGGAGATTTCAAGCTAGTGGCTTTTCAATACCCAAGTTGGGACAAAGGTGGCCTCAAGGACAGACAGCCCAAATAACTGCAGTGAGCTGTGGCAGCACTTGGAGCCAGCGGGGTCTTGCTGTGAAATGAAGAGCAAGCAACTGGTTGTTCAACAGTGGATCAGCTCTGGGGAAGACTAAAAAATTTACTTACATTGGAGACCTTAGTTGCCTGCCTTTGTCTTTATATCCAGGGTCTACAGACATCAAGCAGCTTTGGTTTGCTTATTGTCTCAATACAGGAGTGTCAAAATGTTGACACTTGGGGCACACACATAAAGGACCTGTTCTAAATGAACAAGAGAGGACCCTATCTGCTGATTCTGTTAAGGGGCTGAGAGTCAGATAGAAACCTCAGGAAACTTCTGAGTGTCACAGGACTGCAAAGTGATTTCAAGCACTCTCACTGGC